GGGAAAATAAGTCAAAGTGGTTTATACACACTGTGTCTTCACTTGATGTCTTCTAACAGATAGGAGAGGAAACATAATGGACAAATCTCGGTACACCAGTGTTAATGGTTCTCAACATGTCGTCAGCTTTATCAGTCCTGTAATTACCATGATAGCAAAATGACAGCTGTGACCTTTCCATTAATATGCTTTAAAATTACCATGTTGCTAAACTATTGTTGATGTAATTAAGGTCAGTAATAACAGGTAAGCTAGGTAACACCTGCTTACTTTATAAGTAGTGGCAATACCTATGAATTGTTGGTGGCAAAAACATCTTTACTTTCTGCTCACAATAACACCTGTAATTTTTAAAGCAATATCCAATGTACTTTTCGTGGCAATATCACCTGTACTAATTTGATGGCAATAACATATGTACTAATTTGATGGCAATATACCATGTACATTTGATGGCAATATCATCTGTACTTTTGATGGCAATATCACCTGTATGTTTGGTGGCAATATCACCTGTGCTTTTGATGGCAATAACATCTGTATTTTGAAGTCAATATCACCTGTACTTTTGATGGCAATATCATCTGTACTTTTGATGTCAATATAACCTGTACTTTTGATGGCAATATCACCTGTACTTTTGATGTCAGTATCACCTGTACTTTTGATGGCAATATCACCTGAACTAGCAGCTGTTTTTTGGTGGTAATAACATTTGTAATTTTAGTGGCAATTACAACTGTAGATTTGATGGCAAAAAATCTGTACTTTCGGTTTAGTGGCAAGAACACCTGTGCGCTTTGTGGCAAGAACAGCAATATTTTTGGTGGTAATATTAATACTACCTTTGGGGGCAATAACACCTGTACTGTTGGGGGGGGGGTATTGACACTTAAGCTTGTATACATGTACTTTCAGTGGCAATAGCACCTGTAGCGTTGGGGGTTTTGACACTTGTATACATGTACTTTCAGTGGCAATAACACCTGTAGTGTTTGGGGTTTTGACACTTGTATACATGTACTTTCAGTGGCAATAACATGTGCTTTTTGTGGCAATAGCACCTACAATTTTTGGTGGCAACGACAGCTATACTTTTGGTGTCAATAAGGTATATGTTTTTTGTGGCAATAACACCTGCATACCAGCACTTTTTGTAGCAGTAACACCTGTAATTATGTGGGCAATAATACCTGTACTTTCTATGGTAGTAAGCCTTTTAACCTTTGGCGGTAATATTTACTCACATGTACTTTTAAATTGATGGGGATAAGTATATAACAGGTATTTTTAGATATAAAGCTATGCTTATTGGATGTAGCCTAATAATTACATATGTACTTTTAATTAGATATATACACAAAATGCATGTCTGTATCCAGATCTAATACCATTTTTCCAATGGCACAACATTTACTTATAAAATTAATTGCAGACCTTAATTTTCACATTGATTACAAAATCAATCAAATATTTTCATTTACATTGTAAATAGCTTTTGAATATTTCTCAATTTATTATTGAGTTGCTTATGAACTTATGGGAAGAGAATGATTTAAATGGGCCAAGACTTTGGTCCGAAATCACTAAGTACGATGCTAGCTGCCGGGTGAGCAAGTACAGTAAGAATAGGTGAGGAATGGCTTTCTACCAACAAACTTCAATAGCACTGACTCCATCAGGGTCACACCTTTACCATTCTACCATTGAACCCTTCAGGTTTTATATCCTTTATTTCATTCAAATTTATATTTAATGTAATTTTTTAACAATCTCATACTCATCATGGATCATTTTAGCGAAAGAATATTTGAAAATCTATTTTACAGTTTTGTGTGGCAAACCGATTAGTAAATGTATGTATAGCTGTATTATGTGTTTGAAACATCCTGTTATTGATATCTGGGGTCGGGGGTCATGCACCACTATAATGTCCTAATCAGCTCGTATAAGGTGACTTTGTCCTGTTATATCCTGGTACAGAGTATAATTTAATCCCATATCTGACCACCTAGTCCCTGGACAATCAATGTCATAGAACAAATAGCAATCTTGACCGAGTTTCAACTTCAACAAAATATTTTGAAACGAGAAGACACTGTTTCGGAAAGTGGATAAAGGGTCATAACTCTGTAAATTACTATCGGATATTGGTGGTTATCAAACTTATCCGAGTTGTAATGGTAATGAACCTTCTTATGAAGTTTGAATTTAATCAGTTGAAAATAAATGAAGATATCGAGCGGACACCAAGCAGCTTACCCACCCGCCCGCCAAAGTGATAACATAATACGTCCCGTCTTTCGACGCGCGTATAAATAAAATAATTTGGTCTTCTTTCTTTTTGAATATTCCAGTTTGATATTTTACAAAAAGAAAAAGATAAACCAAATATCCCAATTTAGAGTAAGGTACACAGTTTATAAGTACAAACCTCTTGGGCTTTGTCAATTTTTACAAAAATTGGCATTCTGATCATGATTGAAGTTTCAAACAAACAATATTTTCTTCATAAAGTAAAATGAAGAAACATGCTGAAACACAAACTGAATTCCTTACCAATAGGTACAAACCCCTGTTTCATTCATATTCCTTAACTTGAGAATATTTTTATAAATTAACATTTTTCCATCAGTCCAGTGAGCGAGTCCAGGAAAGTTTTCCAATCAAAAACCTTCATTTTATGAATTTCTGAAATTTAAGGAAAGTTTATGAGACTACGTCCAGGAATCTTAAGGTTTGCTTTGTAGAACAATGGGAGACACAATGACTATATAACCTACTCTAGCTGGTACCAATACAAGCTGGTCTGTGATTAGTCACACAGAGCGACGACATTGTAGCTAAGTGCTGTAATCGTCACCTACTTTTGACGGCTCCTATTAACGACATTAGTCACTTCTATTAGCTATATACAAGTTATCAACATTTGCAAACACAACACACTAATTCTGCATCGTCAACTCATAACGTATGTAAATATAATGTAAATATATAACAAACATGATGTTTACATGTAAAACAGCCAATCAGGCGTCAGCTGCTAATTTTGCTATAATTCTGCCGTATGAAAAAATTGAGAATTAGCATAATACCTCAAGTAGTGTAATAAAATCTAGATGTCCCACTAATGGTTCCTAAATTACAGCATTCGGTATGGTTTTTATTTTCTGATTGTTGTGTCAGTGTTCTCAGGCCCTACCAATGTATCCGGTATATCATGTATACAATTCACACAAAAGTAATCCTTCAGCCGAACACACCCTTTACTATGTCGATTTATCATTTACCTTGTTTTGTTGTGTTAATTTCTGTTAAAATATTATTGGTTGAATTTTATTTTTTTTATCGAAATTTCTCATCAAATTGATTATGAGTCAAGGTAAACATCGGAGACTTATACATAAACATTAAGTAAATTAAAATATTATCCGGAATTTTTTATTTTTTATTCTACTATTACTTGGTGTATCATTTTAGACAAATTTAACTCATTCACCCCTGAACACACATTTGAACTCTTTCGATTCAAAGGTTGGAATAGTTCATTACGAAATTTCAGGGGTGAATGAGTTAATTTCCAACAAACTCGACAAACAAATTTTATCACTTTTTTTAACAAAATCGTACAGGAGAAAAATAACAGTAGGCTATTGTTGCTGTTTTAAACCTGTATAATTATACAAACACAATAGGATGTGTATATACGCGTGAGCGTATCCTGGTGAAATATCAAGGATATCCGGCATTACACTATTACATTAACATATGGTAAAAGTATGTTACAAAAGTTTCTGAGAATTTTCTGTAGCATTATGTCACACGTACAGCCTTTTCAACATGGCTGATGTTCACCTTAATGTGCCTATACATGTAAATATTGATCCCAGCCTCGGTTAGTTTTCATAAGCTCCCGCCTGCGGCTTTTGGAGTTTTAATTGTTTACACTTTCATCTAGAGATATGTCTACAGTGTCTATTAAGAAAACACCACGACATATAGTACAGTGCAGAAATTGCAATACGGAGTAACATAAACCTGAATTATTCATTCCCAGATACTTATTAACTTATTTTTCACTTTATCATACTATTACAACTATTATAATAATATTATTATAATTAATCCTCCCGAGATGCCAACATAAGGTTGAGGAGTCAATACCGGTTTGTTATCAAAACAATATTTTTTTATCATATTTTGAAAAACGAATTTTTAAATCCGGAAGAGGGAACCAGGATCAACTGCTATCTGATAATCAGCCCCCACAGAAAACTAGTTATCAGCCCTGTTTGGGAGGGAAAGCTGCTATACCAAACAATAGACCTGGGCACCAACACGAAAACACAAATAATACTTTACATGTTAACATAGACAAAATCGCAACAAATTTTGAATAATACCTTCGTTTTGAGCAGTATCATTTCAAAGAAAATGGCAATCAATTGACAATGTAAACCCTGTTTTAAACAATTTTTGTAAAAATTTCCCACAAATGAAAATAAGTTTTCAGCAGTATCACTTCAAAGAAAACAGCAAACAGATGAAGATACAAACTTTGTTTTAAAACAATTTTACAAAAACTGTCCCTCAAATGAAAATAAGTTTTGAGCAGAATCGCTTCTTTATATTTTGTTCTAAAACAATTTTAGTTTTGAGCAGTATCACTTCAAAGAAAACTGCAATCACTTGAAGATATAAACTTTATTTTAATTAAAACAATTTTACCAAAAAAATCCCCCAAATGAAAATAAATATATATATATATTGTTTTAATAAGTTTTGAAATAATGTGTATTTTTGACAAATACTTGTGTTGCAGTGTGTTCATAACCAGTTTCTCAATATAAATCACATTGAATCACAACAACCAAATTTCAGTTTCAGAAACATTCAAAAAGAAAACGAAATCAAATTTTGTAGTACGTGTCATCATCGTATTCGACGATGCAAGTCAACAAAATACAGAATGCATCATCAAATAATGAAAGTGCGTCAAGCTATTCAAGACCGGGAAGAAGGAAGCCACAAGCTACTGGGAGGACCAGGAAACACGAGGACCCGGACGAGGCGAAAGGTTAGCCTGTACAAATGCAGATTGTGTGTGTTATTATCTGTCCAGTTTGTCTAGGGCAGCCCTGATTATATGTCAGACCACTCAGAAGTGGTTTATGTGGTAATGTTTAAGGGTGAAAATCCCTTTTTAATGAAAAACAGTCTGGACAGAAAATGGCCCCAAATTGAGCAAATATTACATCATAGTGTTGGCCTAGGTGTTACGTAATGTACTTAGACTGGCGCTGCAGACAGAAATGCATTAATCTGGCTGCATAGGTATATAAATAATTATTTCATGCCCCGAATGTTTTTATTCGCTGTGTTTGTTGGATCTCCTGTATATTTCTTTCCTCTGTCCAATGTCTCTCCATGGGTTTGACGAGACGACTTTGCTTTAGTGTGTTGTGCGTCTGGACTCTTGCTGAGACAGTTGAAATGGGAGTATATATGACCTATTAGCCACATCACAATGTCCAGAGAAGACTGACCTGGTGGATCTTAACCACGTTTCCTGTCTAGACGTAGTTTTATCATCATATTGATTACCCCACACAAAAAATTCCTGCAAAATCTACAATTTTTCATGCGGAGCGTCTGAGCAGCTATACGTTAGAATAGGAAGCAAAACTGGAGGGCCGCTTGACTGGGTGGCAGACAAGATGGTGGCCCTGCATCTGGACATCAAGTACTACTCCGACGCCAATTACCCGCTCTTTCAGCTTTTACCCCAAAATCTAATCAGTTTTCTCGCGCGAATCACCTCCAAGGGAAAACTCTAGATGAAATCCGCAAAACACTGGATAAGGTGGCAACACCACAACATGGAGTATATATGTTCCCCCTCGTTACGACATAGCTACAAAACCTCTGATGACACTTTTGTCACGGCTGTAAAGTCATTATCCGAATATACATCATCAAATCAACCCAACGTGGCCAATTAAATTCCAACAACATGATATAACAAATGCCAACGACCTTTGAAATTCACGAACCATTTTAAACAAGACATGTCAATATGTGACCGCTGTGGGTCGTTAAATGTACTAGGTTTAAATTTCCTCAAAATCTTGAAAACTAATTGCAAAAGATAAGGAAGGAAAGAGCATGAATTAACATAACACACCATTTACCAATTTCTTTTTAAATTCTTTTTGTTTTGTTTTATTTCTAATTTTACTGTTGAACACAAGAAGAATCTGCAAAACTTGTGTCTGAAACACACATGTCTGGCGATAAAAGGTGATATGCTCTTGATTAGAAGGCTTCAAGTAAACTTAGCATCAAAAGTAGTCTTCTTGAAAATATATATACATTTGTTTCTATTCAAGCCAATCATATTCTATTCAAATGGACAATGATGTTGCAACATTCTCCACTACCATTGTAGAAAAACTGGTGAGCTCTGGAAAAATGTTGCATGCTTAAAATATCTTAAGACGGAATAAGTAGAAAAACTAGTCATGTAACAAGTCACAGGCACCACTCCTCAACTGTTGTTTGATATATGTGGTCTGCCACTTTTGGTGGATGGTTTCTTGTGCCAAAACTGGTGGGCTCAAGGACGCAGCAGTCCATTAGGTCCCGTTAGCGCTCACATGCTTTGTCTGCGCCTGCGACCTCAACTCTCCAGGTGTGGCCCGCCTGGGTCCGCTATATATACCAGGTCAATAAACCTCAAGTGATATCGCGTCTGCTTGCTGCACATTGGTAATTCCCAAAACAGCGTCACGTAGCACGTCATGGAAACCATAGCTCTATTTGTCTGGCGCCCCGGCATTGTCCTTATTTATTCACACTGATAGATGGAGAAAAATTCTTTGCAAGCATTTCAATTTCATTGATTTCTTTAAGGTCAACACCACCACAAGAAAAGTCTTAAATATCTCTTTACATTGTTGATAGCTCCTGATGAACAAATTGTTTAGCTGCAACAGACTTAGAAGTATGTACTAACATTAATTACGATGTGCCCCTTTTGAAAACTATCTTATAACAGCATAGTTCACATTTCAAACCTAAATATTACCATGATAAAGATATATGGTGCTTCATAAATAGGATAAAAACTTTTTATAGATGGCACTAAAGTCACCATTGAAATCTATCCTAGCACAATACCCGCACTGCTATCTATCATATCTATATTTATAGTTAAAACATTCAAATTTAAATTTGACACAAAAATATATTTAAGCACAGAGAAGCACAATGTATGTGCACATCAGGACAATGTGAATATGAAGATCAACTTGACATCTAGATCATTCAAGATTTGAGAAATAAACCGTCAATCTTGCTCACTTTACCTTTTTTTTCAAATTCATAGACTTCTTTGGTGCTCAAAAAAAATATGTATCGATACATTTATACTAGTTTGGAGGCTTGGTATTAAATCTTAACAACTATAATATCGCATGACAACGGTGTCATCTATTGNAGGGGGGGGGGGGGGATATTTCAATGGTATTAAATTAAAAAATTCCGCCACAATGAAATAACACCTCGCTAGGACACATGGTAATAACAATGGGCTAACCAGAGGTGTCCAGGAAGACAAAACCAGGAAAAGACAAGAATGGAAAATAGAGAACGCAATATGGGGCTTGGCAGCCCAACTGCTACAATTGGAGAGTGCAGATCTGCCATTTTTTCATCACTGCCATAACCGGACTAATAAGTGAGCAGCTTTTTTTCTTTGTTCCAAATGTTTCCAAGTGTGCTGGTCCACAATGATTTTTTATAATTTTTACCATCCATGGTCTTTATAAATGTTCTTAGCAGCCAAACCGACAAAACAATCGTAAAACCACCTTCTAAAATACTTTATACGACCAAAATAATCACACGATCACTTATCAGTAAATACTCCTCTCTCAGGAAAACTCATTTATATTCCCAGTGAAAGGTTTGGTGTTACAATTGACACACAGTTGTTTCAATTAACTCTGACAAAGACATACACCTGGGTGCTTCTATATAGGTAAACCTTGATTAAAAATAGATAACAGCGTACACAAAGCCTTGACCGAAACACTGCTTTGATATCTGGGAACCATTAGGTCCGACACCACTATTTGTGATTTCAATAAGCGATAAATGTTGCTGTTTAGGAAATGCATTTATAAACATTAATATCCCACGATGACTATCTGGGTAGTCGAGGGCATGTTGACCCCGGCGACGATCGTGACCTCGGTGTAAACTCGGTGACATCTGCTGGGCCATTATCACTTCTACCTTTCTTACGAACTAAATATAGACTCTATTCTGAATCATTGTACTACTCACATATATAAAACTGTCTTCTGTGAACCAAGCAACTCCTGTACGGGAAATACTTCACAGAGACTGTTACAATTTGTTTATATATCTATATATGTACACCAATGCATCGCAATGCATCGACTGACATCCATTTCCATGTCACATAAGGCCACATCATATCACACATACCAACAGCCCATATTAAATCTATACCTGGCCTACAATCTATTTCTAAACGAATATTTCACTTGTTTAAAATTGATAATGAACCCTTTAACAAATTGAAAGAGCATTTTTTCCCCATTTTTTGTTCACCTTAAGGTATCAGATGTGTATTCTATGGAAAACCTGTTCAGAATCAATAATCTGTTTTTGTTAAGATTTTAAAATGAAAAATAAATAGTTTTGCAGTGCTATATAGCACAAACACCAAATAAGCTTAAACCATCTGGTCACCTCAGCTGACCTTTAAGAATGTTCCAACAAGACAGAGCTATATATAAGCTATTTCAGGAGTGAACATGCCACATGCATAGCCTGAATCATGAAGAATGTCCTAGAAAGTATAATTATGGAAATACCAGTTGCATAAAATATGTGACATGCTCCGAACCTGCTATGAACAGTGTACATCATTCTGCAGAGCAGTAATTGTATATCTATATTGCAATACACTGCGGTCGTTATACCATATATCCATATACTCAATTGGAAATATTGATTATGGTTCTACTAAAACTTCGACTTTGTTCAGCCAAAGTATATCTAATTGTATTTATAAGGGACTCGTTCAAATTGTCAGTCAGTCATTGTCTTTTGAACAATTTTTTGGTTGGTTTAAAATTAATAATACTTCCTTCTTACCTTATTTGACCTTATAGGTGCACCTGCCCCCTGTAAGTGTACCCCCCCCCCCCTTCCCCCCAATTTTTCTTGGAAAGAATTAAATAAATCCATTGACATGGTGCTTACTTCAATAGATCTGTCTGTTCAAAATCTGAGACATCGATATCGGTTCCATCATTCAAATCAAGAAGGTCTGGTCGTTTCTGATTCTGTTGGTTTTTTTTGTCACTAACCAAACTTTATCATCTAAATCGACTGTAAACAATGTCATCACCGCTCAAGCCTTTGAGGTCTGCCATCGTTTCTGAATGATCATATTGTTGGTCACGATTATCTGAGAAAAAATCAAACATCGCCATTTTTCACTGAAACATAACCAGTTAGCAACATTTTTAAACAGGAAGTTCTGCTGCAAGATCTTGCAAACAATTTGCAGATATGTGAGTCACTTCCGTAGCGACTATATGTGACAAATGTAAACAAGTGTTACAGGGGGCAGTTTTGGACAATCTGGACACACATGGACACAATCGCTTTGGGCTGAAAGGGATTCATTAAGCATATCCCCTAATGTTTTTGTACGGGCAGTGTTCTTATTAGGTCTAATATGGTATCAAAAGATTGAGGCAATGTAACATCACCTCAAAACAAGAAAAACAATTTCATAACTTATCATAAGATTAATATATGGGTTCAATGAACTATTTTTAAATATATGAATACACAGTGATATGTCAATTTATGTTTTTGAACTTGTTTTGAGTTGCAATTCACCGACCTAAGGTTCTGTAACAAATTAGGGCCTATTTTTGATCTATTAACAAACTCAAATTAACATACAAGGATAGGTTTATATATCTTGATAAAGGTCTCGTCTACTGCTAATGTGTATATTTAAAGCAAAGT